GCTTGCAGGTGTTCTCGAAGGTGTCGTAGCGCACCCGCCGCAGGTACCCCAGCAGCTTCCTCCGCTTGTCCACGTCCATCAGCATCCGCCGCTTGTTGTTCTTGTCCTGCAAAGCACCCGGGGCTCACTGGCCTGCAGGGACACTGCCCTGCCACCCCCAGAAATCACTGAGAGCAGACTGGGATGGGGCTGAAAGGGAAGGACCAGGTAAAGGACAGGGCCTCAGAACAGCTTGTCTGAGGCGCTGCGAGTGTGTCGGGTCAGCACAGGGAGATCCAGGAAGATTTCATTTACTTTGCACTGGAATTGCTTTCTCCGTTCTGTGGCTGCACCTTCCCCTTCCTCCCTGACCCTGAACTCTGTTTTCAGCTTATGTGCAGTTTTAGGTGGTGGCACAAGCTGCAGGGAAGGTCTGCTGGCTAAAACCTGCTGCCCCTGAAGTGTACTGCTCCAGAATAACAGAGGCATTTACCTTCGTTTGGCCAGAAATCAAATGGGAAAATAACCCATGACTTGGCTCTGTCTGACTGTCTGGTTGTTCTCTGGAAGGGAATGTGTGCAGCTGAGCCACACCACTCAGGGCAATCCCTCATGGGAGACATTTCCCTGTCCTATAGGAGTGATTTGTGTAAAGCACAGGCTCCAGCAGAGGAAGTCTAAAAGGGCTCTTTGCTGGAACACTTGGTACGGCTTCTGGCTTGTAATAAAATCTGAATTCTGTTCTGTTTTACCCTTCCAGTTTTCACGATTAACAAACAATTACACACTTGTTAATCCACTTCCCACCTTTTGCCCTGCCTAAAGAACCTTTAGTAACTTTTATTGATAAACTCAGTTGTGATGTTTCAGATTTGGGCCCGAACCCAGGTAGCTGCAGGCAGGGAAGTGGCTGTTGGGACATTCACACAGCCCTGCCCACCAAACGTTTCCATGAGCAGCATCAGGACAGACTTTGCTTTGTCTTTCACTGCAGCTGCTGCAGTGACACATTAATTAGTGAAAACTAAGCAGTGAAGCCACATCTGCAGGGAGGAGAAGTGGAGCTCAACTCTGCCCAAAGGACTCTGCTCAGCCATTTCCTCCAGCAGCAACAAACCTGAACACCCTCCACGCCAGCTCCCCACACTGGCACCAGGGAACAGCTGGAACTATTTCATAAACCTCCTTAGGAAAGCCACAATCCCCGAAATTAAAGCCCTTTTGTTCTAAACCAAGAAAGCCACCCGAGCAGCTGCTGGGTGTGGGCTCAGATCCCCGAGTTACCTTGGGGTGCCTCTGGAGGTGCTCCTCGAACATGCGGATCCTGGCAGTCAGAATTGCAACTGTGAAGAACAGAGTGAGCTGTGTGAGAGCAGCAGCCTTCCCAGGTGATCCAGGATCCTCTGCCTTCCCTGAAGCTGCCAGCTGAGCACTGCTGCTCCTGGGGGACCCACAGCACCATGGCAGACACTGCCCACCAAACCACAGCACACAACCTGCAGAGCTGTAACTGTTAAGAGGCTGCTCAGTTAGAAGGGAAAATTTTAACAACAGATCATAAAAATTTTATCTGTGAAATTCCTCTTGCACTCAATTCCCAGTGATTTTACATTCATTTCACCTCATGTGGCTCAAGCTCTGGAGGAACAGAAAGCAATAAAGGTGTTTTTTTAACAAGAGCACCAGGCCAGCTCTTTGGGATTTCGGGCTCTGGAGGGAGCTGCTGGTGGCACCCTGAGGGACTGAAGGGCTTTACTGATGATGAGGAAGTGCATCTTGGTCAGTGCAGCGTGGCCTTTGTCCCTGTGCTGTCCCCACACTGTCCCCACACTGTGCTTCAGCCACAGCTCTCCAATGCAAAGGGAAATTTGAGTTCCATGGCTAAATCTGGTTCATTCTGGTAACAGATGCAGCTCAATGTTTCATGTCACAGGGGCACTCCAAGCAGAATAATGCACACACTGCCTTTGGAGTGGAGCAGGAATTTGGAAGCACCCCAGCAGCCTCTGCCAGTGAGCATCCACTGCCTCTGCAATGCTCCCACACCCGGAGCAGCCCCCCGGGGCATCCTGCCTCTTGAGTGCTCTCCTGGAGGAGATTCTCCTAAATTATACAGCCAACTGGAAGTGTTGGGGTGGCAACAGCTGAATAAAGGCAGAGATGTTTCATCTGCCAACAATATCCTTCCCTGTTAAACTTGCCTTGCACCTCAAAGGAGCCGTTGTCGCTGGGAGACCTCCTGACCTTCTCCACCAGCTGCTGCGTCTTGATTTTCATCTTCTCCTTCTGTGGGTCACAGGAAAGAGCTTGTCACTCTCTCAGGAACACTAAAGGTCAGAGACACCAGCTCCCTCCACAAACACACAGGTAAAGGCTTTGCATTTAAGAGCTTTACTCAGTGGTTTTACACCCTTTTAAGCTGAAGTGACAACCAGCAAGGAGCGGCGAGATCTCTGTGCCACTTTATTATCTGTTTGTTTTCTGGGCATACAAAAGTAAAAATAGCTCAAAGAACATCTGCTGTCCAGTGCACCGGTTTCTAGAACATAGAAGGCCAACCACAGGCAGCAACAGAACACAGCTCATCACCCCAGGACTGCTGAATACTTTCTTCTCTCATTTTAATGTGCAATTATTATCCCAAAGAAGACTGTGGGGTAAATTCTAGAAGCGCACAAGAATTATCAGTCTCATGTATTTAATCACCCCAGATTTGCAGTCACTTAAAAATACAGTAACTGAAAGGTATTTAACAACACAGACAGGTCTCACACAAATGTGCTCGCTAAATCTATTTTTTTCCCCCAAGCAGAATGACACTGACCTGACTTGCCATTTCCAGGGACAACAGCCTTCTCACTACATCATCCACGCTGCAAGGAGACAGCAGATCAGTTTATAAGCTACAATCCAGTCTATATAACAAAAGAAATGAGCTCAGGTTTTCAGAACATACTCACTTTCCTCAACTTTAATTTACTCTACAATGGAGTAGAGTACTACTCTCACAGGGAGTAAACAAAGACCTCCCACAGCCCTAACCACTGACTGTGTCTGTAATTTGACTTTCAAACTGACTTTGCGATTTTTGTGCCCACAGAGCGTTAATTAGTTAATTCCTGAGCAGGTGACTGCATCCACATGTGGTTCTGTGTAAGACACAAAGCTCTGGAGAGAACAGCCATTCCCTCTCCCTGTGTCATACCTGTTCATTACCGGGAGATTGGCATAATCCTTCTTCAGCATGGTGGGAGGGAGGTCATCCAGCTGGCTGGGGATGTCTACAAAGAGGAGGCAAACGTTTGAGGAAGAGCAGGACAGAGCCAGAGCTCTGAGCTGGCAAACTGGATCAGAGGAAAAATGCTGCAGAGGAAACTGTGCTCCAAACAAGACAGGAGAACTGAACAGATCCACCCAAGCTGGCAGGAATTGAGTGAATAAAACAAGTTCAGCCTCTTCCCTTCAGCACTCTGGACTTACAGAGTCCACTGAGCTCAGAGATCACAGCATGGTTTGGGTTGGAAGGGACCTTAAGAGATTATCCAGTGCCACCCCCTGCCCTGGGCAGGGACACCTTCCCCTGTCCCAGGTTGCTCCAAGCCCCGTCCAACCTGGCCTTGGACACTTCCAGGGATGGGGCAGCCACAGCTTCTCTGGGCAACCTGTGCCAGGGCCTCCCCACCCTCACAGAGCTCCCACTACTGACAATCACTGATTTTCCCACATTCAGGAGCTGCTGGGTGACTTCTGAGCAAGGAATTATTTCTGGAATGATTTCTGTGCCCTGGGGGTACAACTCTGAGCACGCCAACAGCACAGCACTTGGCCCTGTGGTCCTGTGGGTCCTGACCTACCTTTCCTCCTCCTTGTCACAGGTCTGGCATAACCCCTGGCTGCCTGGAGAGCAGGGCTGCAGGCTGGGGGGGAGAAACAAAGAGTTACCAGACTCGTGTGCACGTCACACACTGCTCAGCCTGTGCAGGGGCAGGGCACTGAGGCTCTCTCTGAGCAGTGACCGGGGCTGTAGTGCCAGGGCAGGCAGGACAGCTCAGCGGGGCTCTCACAGAGCTGTGCCCATCCGAGCCCCACGGCTGGGCACGGAGCAGCAGCACAGGCTGCAGGGCGGGAGGGCTGCCCTGCACAAATGTGGTTACTGAGAGACTTTAAAGTGAGGAATTAACTCCAGTGACGCCACGAGCGAGGTGGAGGGGCTGCTCTGGGCCCCCCAGTGCCAGAGCTCAGGGCAGCCACCCCTGGGGACAACCTGTGTGTGACCCCGGTGTGAGCACTCATCATCCGCCTAGACCGAGTCCTTCTTGGACCTTTCAGGAACAAACTCTTCCCGCTGCTGTTCCAGGCCCCGGGAATCGGGTTATTGCCCTGTTCCTCCACCGTTTGCAGGCAGTCCCTGACCTGCCTCACAGGGGCCGAGGGGCCCGGGGGGCTCAGGCCGCCGGGGTCCTGTCCGCGCCCCGGGGCCCCTCAAGGTCACCCGGCTCTGTCCCCTCTCAGGTGTGTGGCCCCGAGTGGCCCCCAGGCCACCTCCGGCCCCGGGACCGCCCCTTCCCTGCACCCTCAGCTCCCGCCGCGGCCCATCCGCCGCCCGCTCCCCAATTCCCCCGCCGGGCCCCGCTTCCCCTTCCACCCCCCGTCCCTGCCGCGCCCCCCGCGCCCCTCACCGGCCCTGCCCAGCGCGGCGGCCCCGCCGCGGCCCAGCAGCGCCAGCATGGCCGCGCTCAGCGACACGCCGCCATGGGCGCCGCCATCTTGCCCAGGCGCGGCGGGCGAGCGCCGAGACGGGGCGGGGCGAGAGAGCGAGCGCCGAGCGCGTCGATGGAAGTGCCAGTCCCCACCCCGGTCCTCGTCCCGACCCCCTCCCGGTCCAGCCCTTGTCCCGGCCCTGTCCCCGCCCCTGTCTGGTCCCGGTCTCTTCCCTGTCCCCGTCCCTGTTCCCATCCCCATCCCCATCCCCATCCCCATCCGGTTCCCGATCCCGCAGAGGCGCCCGGGTTGTTCTCAGCACGTTCCTGTTTATTGCGGAGGGGTGACAGGAGGGGACACACAGTGCGGGATGGAGCCGGGCAGCGGTGGATCCCGCATCCCGGTCCCCGGTGGCATTCCCGGTGCCGCTGCCCGGCTCCATCCCGCGCTAGTCCGCCCGGCACTCGTGCAGCTCCTCGGCCCCGCCGAGGCGGAGCCCCTGCAGCAGCGGGAAGCTGGCGGGGGTCTCCTCGGGGACCCACCAGTCCCCGGCGCCGTCCCCGCGGCCCCGCAGGTTCTCGTAGAAGCGGGGTCCGGGCTCGGGGAGCAGCCGCTGCCCCCGGTACCCCGCGCCGCCCACCCGCGCGTACTGCACGGGCTCGCCGGGGCCGTCCTGCCGCACGTAGGGCCGGGGCAGCGCCGAGAGGGCGGCGGGCGGCCCGGGGGGCTCCTTCCCCGGCGGCTTCCCCGGGGCCCCTTCCAGCACGGTGACGGTGGAGATGGCGGCCGGGCCGGGCTCCCTGGCGGCGGGGACCAGGAGCGGCTCCTGGGGACAGCGGGAGGTCACAGCCGGTGCCACCTGCCCCTGGTGCCACCTGCCCCCGGTGCCCCTCACTGCGGCCCTGGTGGGGAGCAGGGCTGGGGGAGCGGCCACCCCGGGCTCACCTGTGGCAGCACTGCCGGCACCCACTTGCCCAGGCTGCTGTTGGCGGGGTCAGGGACGCTGGGCCAGAGCTGCTCCTTCACTCTGGGGACCAGGGGATGAGGGTGCTCAGCCAGGGGGGCTGGAACGGGCGGGCTCGGGGCTGGGCTGGCTCCTGCCAAGCTCATGGGGGGATGTCACCACTCCCAGGACCACCCTGTCCAGGGGCTCCTGGGGCAGCCCAGCCCGAGACAGGGCTCCTGGTACTCACCTCTCGTTCTTCTGGAAGCAGATGAGCAACAGTATGAGCAGGAGAAAGGCCAGCCCCAGGGTCAGGAACAGGAACTGGATCTCAGTGTCATCTGGGAAGTGGGACAGGGTCACAGGGAACTGCGGTGGGCACCGTCAGCTGCACTGGGCCACGAGGCCGGGGCAGGACCCGGGGTCTGGGGGTGCCCTCCCCCCGTGGCTGCCCCCTCACCAAGCACTGTGGTCACCAGGGTCAGGCTGGTGCCATTGGTGCCGCCGGCAGCCGTGGATGCCATGATGTGCACCTTGTACAGGGTCGAGGGCCTCAGCCCCCGGATGACAAAGGAGCTGAGAGAGGGATTCACGGTGGCACCTGGGGACACACAGAGCTGTGGTGGAATCCCCTCCCCTGCACAGCCCCTTGGGTCTCTGCTGGCAGGACCCGACCCCTCTGAGGAGGGCACAGGGTCTGAGGAGGGCACAGGGTCTGCTGATGCCCACACCCAGCACGTCGAGGCGGGACAGAGGGCACGGTCAGGACTCACTGGCCATGTCAGCCATGCTGTTGGCCCAGAAGATGGTGTAGTTGGTGATGAAGCCGTTCTGCACCTCCACTGGCAGTGGCTCCCAGCACAGCTCGGCCTCTGACTTGCTGATGCTCCTCAGGTGGAGCTTTGGGGCGTAGGACGGTGCTGGAAGGAGCAGGACAAGGCACCAGGCACTGAGCAGAGCCGCTGCCTTGGGTGGGAACTGGTGTGGGGGGCCCCCATTCCCGAGGTGTGGGCATCAGGCCCTGCCCACACCGTGGGTTAGCTGAGAACACCTCCAGAGACGAGCCAAACCCAGCCCCGCAGGCTGAGCTCTTGGGCACGGCCCCTGAACTGGGGCTGTGTGGGGGAGCACTTGTGCCTCCTTTCAGGAGGGCAGAGGCTCAGGGGGGGGGCTGGGGCAGCCCCGGGGGGCACACGTACCCCTCTGCTGGGAGTAGGCTGCGGTGTGGACGGGCATCCCAACAGCGTCCTTGTAGAGGGGGTACAGGGAGATGTTGTACCGCTGGAAAGGCTCGATGCCATCTGCAATGCAGGGCAGGGGGGCGGGCGCTCGGGGCACTGTGCCGAGACCCCCCGGCTGTGCCGCCCCCGCCCCACAGAGCCAGCCCACCCTGCCCTGGGAGCAGAGCCAGGGGAAGGAGGGAGGGTGGGGAGAGGGCTCAGGGCAGGGTTTGGTCAGGATGGGTGTCAGCCCCCCGGGACAGCCAACCAGGGGGGCAGGGACACCCGGCAGGGCAGGGACCCCCACTTACACTGGATGAGGGCTGCGGTGGCCGCCCCGTCACGCTCCAACTGCCAGCAGGCGCTGCAGTGCCCGGGCTCAGATGTCACCCGCTGCCACTCCAGGACATAGGCGGCCACCGGGGCCGGCGGTGCCTCCCAGTGCACCCTGAGGCTGCTGATGTCCCCGGGCTCGGCCCAGAGCCCGGCCAGGGGCTCACCTGCATGGGACAAGCAGCCGGGATGATGGGAGCCGGGAGCATCCTGCATCACTCCCTGGAGTCAGCCCTGCTCCTCGCCCTGGTTGTGCACCCCATGGCAGCCTGTCTGGGGGAGCAGAGCCCCCCGGGGGGCACACAGAGGCTTCAGGCACTGCCCTCACCTTTCCTCTCCAGGAGGACAACCTCGGTTGCTGCCGACTCTCCGGCGGCATTGTAGGCTGAGAGATAGACCCTCCTGGTCCCCGTGGGCGCCGAGAAGTTGCACTCGGTGTGGGTGGTGTTGCAGACGGTGGGGGGGTCCCTGCCCCTCCTCCTGGGGCTCAGGGTGACACGGTAGCCCAGCACTTGCCCATTGGCCTCGTGCCGCCGTGGGGCCTGGGCACAGGGGGATGTTGGTCCCCGCGGGGCTGTCGGTCCCCGGGGTGATGCCCCTGCAGCCCCCGAGTGCCCGCCCGCCCCCGCTCACCTTCCAGCGCAGCTGCACCTCCAGCCGCCCCCCTGCCCCGGCCGGCCGAGCCCCCCACCACGCGTCCAGCTTCCCTGAGGGGGCTGCAAAAGGAGGAGCTGAGAGGGGCCAGCGCGGCCGTGCCCCAGCGCTGTGCTGCCTGCCCGGGCAGAGGGGACCCCTGGGTGACTGCACCAACCTTTCTCGTGGGTGGTGTAGTTCCTGCCCGGGCTCCACTCACTCCAGAAGGCCAGTGCTGAGCTGCGCCGGCAGCGCAGCTGGAAGTGGTACCGTGTGCCGAAGAGGAAGCCGCAGCGCTGCGCGGTGCCAGCCCGGCCCACGATGCCAGTGACCTGGTGGCAGCCAGAGTGAGGGCTGTGCTGGCTCCTGCCTCAAGCAGGAGCTGGCCCTGGTGTAGGTGTGAGGGGACACCTTGTTGTCTTCCTCCCACACGAGCACCCTGCTGCTCCCACTGCAGGACCCCAGGGAGGGTCCCGGCTCCTGCCCGGTCCCACCGCCCCGGCCGCACTCACCAGGCTCCAGGCAGGGTCCTCGGGTGCCCGGTAGCGCAGCTCACACTGCAGCTCCATGTGCTCCGTGCCCCGCGCCACCTCCCAGGCCAGGGCAACGCAGTCGGTCTGGAAGGGGATGGACTGGATGTTCTTCAGGGTTGGGGGGTCCAGCTTGGCTGGAGGAAGAGCAGGAGAGAGCTAGAGAGATGCCATGGTGGGCAGAGCCAGGGGCCATGGCCTCACATGCGTCTCTTGTTAATGCCAGGACCTGCAGCTGGGGTTCTGCAGCAAGAAATGGCAAGAAAGCACCCCAAACCATTTAGGAAAACAGCTTGTGGCAGGGGACAGGAGCTGGTGCATGTCCCTGCCTGAGATAGGGCAATGCTCAGGAATGCAGCACTGGCACTGCTCTGCATCAATGCCTATGAAGGGAAAACAGACTTCGTGGGGCTTGGTGTCTGGAAGACCCCACATTTGGGTCTGCCCACAGGTGAGTGTGGCACAGCCATGGGAGGGCTCAGCTGGTTCCTGGGCAGTCCCTCCCTGGGCTCAGAGCAAGGAGGATAAGCTGCTCCATCTGGAAAGGCTCCTTTTATAAATAGTTTATAGGCACTGGATCCATTATTAATAGACCTCCTGAATAAATGGGTAATCAATTGCTGGAGGAGCTGTGGAGTGCAGCAGGTCAACCGGCAGCTCATAACCCGCCGCACGCGCTGCTCGTGTAAGGCGGCGCTGGCACCGATTCATCCCGGCAGGACATCCATCACGGAACCCGCCCGGAAAACGTGACCTAAAACCTGACCTGCTTTAATGGCCCTTTAATACCCCTGTCACCGCTGACGAGCTTCCCTGGCCCCTGTGCTGTCACTCACCGACGTCCATGGGGTCGATGCAGAGATGCTCTGACTCGGCCGTGCCCAGGGCGTTGGTGACGGACACCCAGATCTCCATCTCCCGGTACAGCTGGAGCAGCGGGCGCGGCACCGTGCAGTGGCTGTGCCCGCCTCGTGGGGTGCAGCCCGTCACCGCCTGGGCTCTGCTCCTGCGGCAGCCAGAGGAGTGGGCTCGGGGTCCCTCCGGCAGAGGACGGGGCTTGGCAGGGGTTTGGCGGGGGGACCGCGGCCCCGAGGCTTACCCGGCACACTTCAGTGCCACGCTGGTGGGGAGGTGGCTGTTGGCTCCCTGCTCCCACTGGCACGTCAGCCCGTAGTCGCCGAGGTTCAGGACACAGCTGAGGTTGAGGGGCTTTGCAGGAGGGTCTGGGGGAGAGCGGTTGGGGAAGAGCCTGAGCAAGTGCCCATCCCGGGTGGGGAGGAGGGTGACACGTGGCAGCAGCACTTACAGCCCGCCCTGATCTCGGTCATGCCCACGCGCTGCTTGGTCCCGTTCCACTCCACGCAGCACCACAGCCTGGCCTGAGTGCGGTTGAACTGGGGCAGGGTGAGCTCGGACACCTCCGTGCCCCCCGGACCCTGGTGCTGGCTCCCAGCCACGGGCTTGTTGTCCAGCATCCAGCTGATCCGGACCTTCCCCTGCTCCAAGCCCTGGCAGAGTTCCCTCTGGATGGTGCAGGTTGCTGTGACGGCCGAGCCCAGGGTCACAACGGGTGAGCCCACGGCCACCAAGGCGCAGCCCAGAGTCCCTGCAGGCAGGAAAAGTGTGTCACATCCTGGGCACGGCTGTGACAAAGCCAGCTCAGCTTCTTGGTGCCCAGGCAGGACAGAGGGATGAGCCTCTTCCCTCAGACAGCCCCCCCAGCCCTGGAGAGGAAGAGCCGGGCGTTGGGCAAGCTGCCAGCACATGCCAGGCCTCATCCTGCCTGCGCCCGCTGTGCCACTGCTCTTCCTGCCAGCCAGGATGGGCACGGGGTGCTGTGGACAGCGGGGGCACACGCTGTGGGACAGCACAGGACGGGCCCCACTCACCGCCCGGGCAGAGGAGCAGGAGCAGGGAGAGCTGGAGTAGGGGGGGTGTCCCAGCACGGCGCCTGGCCATGGTCTCCTCCGCGGCTTTGGCATCACCTGGAATGGAGAGAGCGGCTCGTCCCGGGGGTCGGCAAGGGCTGGGGGCGAGGCGGGCTGGAGGAGCCGGGCTCCATCGTCCCCGGCGCTTCCCGGAGCAGAATGTCCTTCAGCTGTCAGCGCCAGCCTCTCCCCAGCCCTTCCGACACCTCCGCCCCCGGCTCGGCCGCCCCCGCAGGAGCCGGCGTGGGCAGCGCAGCGGAGGCGCTGGGACGGGGGTCCCGCCCCGGCCCCGCTCCCCACCCGGGCACAGCACCCCCTGCCCGGCCGCAGCACGGGCTCAGTTTATCTCCGTTATCTCCAGCCGCTGCCGGGCAGAGATTTGCGGTTTGAGGGCGGGTGAGCGCTGGGGCGGCGGAGGGCGATCAGCTGGAGAGGGAAGCGAGTGACCGACGGCAGCACAGCCTGAGCTGCGGGTCCTGCGCACGCCCCCCGCTGTCCCCCTGCCTGGGGCTGGGAATGGCCCTGCCAGCGGCCCCTGCCTCTGTCCCTGCCCGGCCACCGGCTCATCCTCTGACCCGGCCGGGTCCCCGCCGTGTCCCAGGAGGGGCTGCCCGTGCTGTGCCCAGCTCTGGGTGCCCACAGCAGTTCCCTCCCCCCAGCCCCAGCCGACGTCCAGCGGGAGATGAGGGACTCGAGTGTGGGAAATGGGACAGCAGCCACCCCTGAGCACCCAGCACGTGCGGCTGTCCCAGGCAGGGGACAGGGCAGAGCAGCCACAGACAAGGTGCTCAGTGGGACCTGAGCACCACGCAGTCGTCCCTACCTCGCCCCCATCCCTGCTTCTCCTCCGTGCCCGGTGTGTCCGGTCTCCGCTCACCGCCCGCTCCGAGCGCCGGGCTCGGGCTGCCGGCGGCTGGCCGTGCTCAGCCTGTTTGCTAACATGCTGCTTTCCCCGTTAGTTCCTCAAAACCAGGGCCGTTAATTGCTGTGACGCTCTGAAGAAGGTGATTGCAAAACACTTCCCTGAAGGCTGCGACCCCCTCGCTGCCGCAGGCAGGAAAGCCCAGGGCACACAGACATCCCGAGCAGCGCCAGCCCCCACCCTGCCCGCTCCAGCGGCCCGGACCTGGACCAGCTCCTCACTGCTACCGCCCTGGGGCCACCAGGCTGGGCTGGGAGACACGGTGGTGGACTTTGGGGACAGGTCCTGCGGGGGGACATGGGCTGGGGACGTGGGCCTCAAGGAGCAGGAGGCAAACCCAGCTGTGGCTGCCAGTGTGATGTGGTGCTGCCTGGGTGCAGCTCACAGCCCCCAGCCCGTGTCTGTGCCCATGTGCATGTGGTCCAGCTTGCCCCAGAGTGAGGGGACCCACAAGATGCCCAAAGGCAGCCCATGACCCAACCTTCCCACCAGTGCTCCCAGTGCCAACCATTTACACAGGTTATTCCAGCAGCCCCTCGCCCAGGGCTGACCCGGGGCTCACTGCCCCTGAGGGACCCCCATGTCTGGAGGGATGGGGCTGCCATGGGGGGTAACCAGGGGGTTGCCCAACCCACCACGCACTCACAGCCTTCGCAAGCACGGCGGCTGTTGTGCAAACTGCTGCCAAAAGCTGGGGTGTGTGTCACCTCCACCCCCTGCGGAGCACAGTGCTCCTGGGGTGGGGGAAGCATCTGGCACTGCCAAAGACTGGGGTCCAGCACAGCCCCCTGGGAGCAGAGTGCCCTGGGGTGGGGGAAGATCTGGCACTGCCTCCCACAGAGCTGGAAGGGGGTGGCTGGGGGCTCTGACCACCGACCTCACAGCTCCCACAGTCCAAGCAAAGGCATTTTCCCCCAAATCTGCCCTGCCCAGAGGGGGCTGTGCTGCTGGCAGGGGTGGGGTGGGGGCTCAGCACCCTGGGCTGGGCCATGGGGTCGATGCCCACCACTGGCCTGGGCTGGGGGAGCTGCCCTTGCACCATCTCCCTGGGGTGGAGCAACCCCAGTATTTGGGGAGGAAGCGCAGGCCGTGCGGGCTGTTTACCAGCCGAGCAGGAATAGCCGTGGGTAGCCATGGAGACGTGGGCATCTCCGTGGGAACTGAGGGCGTAGCTGCAAACACCCAGCTGGACACCCCGTGGGGCCCCCCCGGGGTCCGTGCTGGGATCCCACGTCCCAGCGTGTGCAGGGGACCCCGCCTGCCCCCGGCCTCACCCCATCCCTGCTCCACAGGGAAAGGGCCTGTCCCGGGAGGCTCCAAGCGTGCCAACGTGCCCTGGGAGCAGGGATGGAGCGGACCTGCCTCCGTGGCACTGCTCTCGGTTCCCGTTCAGCTCTGAGTCACCCTCACAAGCCCTGGGATGGGACGGGGGACGAGGGAGGGCACAGGGTCCCATCCCTGCAGAGCCCCTGCAGCCAGAGCCGCAGGGCCTGGCCAGCCCAGGGGCAGGAGGGTGCATGAGGAGGGGGCTGCCAGGGGCAAAAGCCTGGGATGAAGCCCGAGGGTCCCACGGTGAGGCTGTGGCTGTGCAGAGGCAGGGGGGACACAGGCCATGGTGTGGGATAGCACGGGGAGCACGGTTTGGAGGGAGGGTGGGTGGGGGCTCATGAGGCAGGTTTTGGGGTGGGTGGTGGGGCAGTGGGCTCCCAGGCCATGGCACAAGAGCCTCCCAAGTCCGAGGCCATTGGGCGAGGGGGAAGGGGAAAAGGGGAAGCGGCCGTGGGGCTTTTCCTGGGTTGCAGAGCGTGGGATGGGGACTGCTGGCACTGGGCAGCAGCCCATGGACAAGGCCAGACCCCAGGGACAGCTCTGGTCACAATCTACAGGCAGCAGCCCCACATTCAATGCTGGGGGGGGGTGGTCTCAGCTGCCTCCGTGTTTCCAGTGCTCCTGACTCCATCCCTGCTGGGTGGATCATTGCTATTAAGCAGAATAAAGTACATTCCTGGTGTGTATCAGCTCTGCTGGCAGCAAGAACCAGCCCCCCCAAGGGCTTTTCCCTTTCTTCTTTTTATTCCCTAAAAAAATAAAATATTGCCAGTCATGTAAGATGCAAGATCTAAGTGGAAAAGCTGCTGCAGTCTCTAATGGATGAGGAGAGCTGGTTAATTGCTGCTCAATATGATTAATTCAAACAACCCCCCCTGCAGAGGGGAGGGAGCAAAGGGCTCCCTGCTAAGCTGCCCCATGGGTGGGCAGACGTGGTCAGGACGGGACCCTCGACTCGGGACAGCAGCACAGGGGGACACAGGGGAACGTGGGGAGCCCAGGCTGCCAGCACAGAGCTGCTCCAGGGATGGGAGCCCAGCTGGGACTCTCCTTTGTCTGCAGGCTCTGGTCTCCCAAACCCCAGGGATGCCCCTGTGCTCATCCCTGCCCTGTGCCACCACCGGCTCCTCCCCAGGGAGGAGGCTGCAAATTGGAGAGGATTGATGGTGGGGGGCTGACCTTGAACAGCTCCCAACACATTCCTGCAATTAATGAGGCAGGAGGATTAATTTCTGCGTGGCAGATCTGGGGAGGCCCTGGTGGGCATGGGGAGGGGGAGGAGGGAGAGATGAGCTGCCATTATTCATCTCTAATCTGTGAGACACCAAAGGGATGCCAGGGCTCGTCTCGGCAGTGATCCAACGGGTGCAGGGTGAGAGGGAGAGATCTCCCATGGGCCCACCTACCCCTTGCCTGTCCCTGAACTGGCTCTGCTGCCCAAGTACCTGTGGTGGAGGAACCTCCCCACGTCCGATGGCCCAGCCCTGTGCCAGCACCTCATCCCCTGCCACTCCTGGAAATTCCCACTCCTTTCTGCTGAGACGCTCCAGAGCCCATGGAGCATCTTGTCCTTCTGCCATTGCTGAAAAGAAATCTCCCTTTGATGCTGTGCCCCACCAAACCACCAGGGCAGGGGGGTTTTTGCCCCCACCCCATGCCCACAGTGCCAGGCAGCACCTCTGAGTCTGATCCCGGCTGCCGGTGGCCCCTCCTGACACTTCCCAGCAATCAGGCTGCAAGCACAGCACTATTATTTTTCTGCTCTAATAAACACCTCTGACAATAATAGAAAAAAATCGGCTTTCATCTGGAGAAAAGGATACCTGGGAATTATTTACTCAGAGTCAATAGCGGCGGGTGGGGGGCCGCCAGCCCAGGCAGGTGCCAGCAGCTGCTTGTGGCTGGAACATTGCATGGGAAAGGAGCAAAGCCCTCTCAAATGATCCCCCCTTGCTCCTGCTCCCCCATCTTGGCTGTGCTGATCAGGGGAACCCCCTCTTTCTCTGTCCATGCCACCCTGGGACACGCTGCCAGCGCCAGGCCCCTGGAAGGCACAGGGGGGCTCCGGGTGCTTGAGCCGTGGGGTGGGAGCCCAGCTCGGAGCTGGCACCTCTCCTCTGCTGGGATCTGTGAGAGCAAGAACTGCACGGTCAATTGAGCTAATCACAAAGGCAATGAATGTCTGCTCCGAGAGGCTCTAAACATCCCCGCTCAGAGCCAGTGACACGAGGAAATAGGAATCCAACCAAGCGGCCTCCAGAAGTGTTTTATTCCCCATTATTTTCATTAGCTGCCTTGTAATTTGATTTGTCCCTCTCCTGCTGCTGGCTGGCTCCGTGGCCAAGAGCAGTGACAATGAGACACCGTCAGGAGCCCCGGCGGTGCTCGGGGGGGTCGGGAGTGACGCAGCTCCCCCGGCTCCGGGGCTGTGCCTGTGAGAGGGGACCGAGCTCTGATATTGCCCCCATCTCTCGCCCAAAACCCCTCGAGGCTCAGGCTGTGGTTCCCAGCACTGCCAGTGCTCTGCCTGGGGGCACAGGGTGAGGGCCCCACTGTCAGCACCTCCCGCCTCCGGGTGCTCCTGTGCCCCTGCTCCCGCTGACATCCCGTCCCCATTATCCGCAATTTCCTTGAAAGCTGTCAGGCCTCACCGGGGCCCCTTTGCAGATGAAGAGAGGAGGAAACAAGCAGGTCTGCATTTATCCCACTAGAAATTAATCCCCCCCTTCTTATTTAAAGGTATCAGTGAATGAGGCCAAGTTGTTAAGTGACAAAAGAAAAATGATTCTTGCCTTCCAGGGTTATTAAAATCATGTTCTACAATTTTAGCAGCCACAAGGAAGCCCAGATAATGACAGATGATGATAATCCATCTCCAGCACAGCCTGGTCTATAATGATACTGCCCATATCTCTTGTATTACCACCAATTACTCAGCGTATAATGAAAATGTACATCCATTCTGGGGAGCTGCGTTTGCTGCCTCTGAATCCAATTTCTCCCTCTCCTTCTCCTGGCCCTCTCTGGCTGCAGCTGGAACCCCCCCACCGTGCCTGGCTCTGGGATCAGGGCTGGGGGAGCCTGTCCTGTGCTGTGCCCTCACCCCGGCCGGGCTGCACGGGGCCTGTCTGGGACACAGGGAGGAAGGGAGAGGCTTTGAAATGCAAATTGCAGGAGGAACACGAGGAGATACAAAGCAAAGTGAATCCTCTCTGCTGCACCGAGGTGGCAGCTCACAGGTAACCCAGCCGGGGCCAGGGCAGCCCTCAGGAGCTCCCAGCAGCTGCCAAAATCCACTGTGAAAGTGCCTGTCCCAGTGCTGAGCTGGCATCATCTGGCCCAGCCAGCACCATCCTGCCCAGCACAGCACCATCCTGCCCAGCACAGCACCATCCTGCCCAGCACAGCACCACCCTGCCCAGCACAGCAGCATCCTGCCCAGCACAGCACCATCCTGCCCAGCACAGCAGCATCCTGCCCAGCACAGCACCACCCTGCCCAGCACAGCAGCATCCACAGGCCCCAGCCTGGAGCAGAGGTTCCATCACACCCCCAGTGTCACCTTTGGCCGTGACACAGGGTCACACACCTCCCCCCACAGCCCTGTCCTGGGGAAAATGCACCTCTGAGCTCTTCCACCCCCTTCCTGGAGGCAGCTGTGCCTCCCACCCCAGGACTGGCTGCA